GAGGGGGGGAGGAGGGGGGAGGGGGACGAGGAGGGGAAGAGGGGGAGGAGGGGGAGGAGGATGATGATGGACGACAGTGGGAGGACGATGATGGAGGCCGATGAGGGGGTGGACGACAATGGGAGGACGATGATAGAAGGACGAGGGGGGAAGAGGGAGGACGAGGAAGAGGAGGAGGAGAAGGACGAGGTGGAGGAGGAGGATGACGATGCCGATGGCGACAAGGACGAGGAAGAGGAGGAGGAGGAGGAGGAGGAGGAGGAGGAGGAGGAGCAGAAGGAGGAGGAGGAGGAGGAGGAGAGCGCCATCGACAGGGAAGGTGGGAGCCACGAGGTCTGCCGGCTCGACGACGCCCGCCTCGCCCGCGCCCGCCCCCTCACTCTTATCCGCAATTGCGGGGTGCTACGTTATTTGCAGTACAATGTAATACACTTCTCCGGCGCAATGCATTTGCAATACAATTGCCACAAATCTAATGCACCACCCCCCGTCAGCTGGACCCCCTGATTGGGTCGCCCCCCGTCCCCATGGCGTTTTTTTCGCCCCACGGGTGGCTCCAGGGCGGGCTCAGGCCGTCCCACGGAAGGCTGCGAGATGGCGCCAGGCGGGCTCCAAGCATCGCGCATGTTCCCCAAAGGTTTTGAGATGTGCCCCCTGGGGATCAAACGGGCCCTTGAATTCCTCAAGACTCGCCCGAACGCCTTGATGCAATCCCAGAGATCCAGCGCACCGAAAAAAACAGGACGGAGGTTTTTCACAGCTTTCGGCCTCCAGGGGCCCTGACCGGGCCTCGGGGCCTTCAAACAAAGGATCAGGATTACAAATTGGTCCTGGGGAGTGGGTCGAGACTTTCTGGGGCCCCGCATAGAACAAATCACTACATCGGATCTCGATGCCCGATGAGCTCCACAGCAGCGACGAGCACAGCGGCAGGAGGAGGGGAGGAGAGGGGAGCAGGGGACGGAGCGGGCGAGTGAGCAGGAGATTGGGAGGGAGACGCGGGCGGAGGGAGGGGGTGCAGGCGGAGGAGGAGGGAACGACGAAGAATTACGTCGGGCCTGTCCCTCTACAGCAGGAATTTTCAAAAATATTCCAAAAGTAGCACGGGGACTTTTTTTTGGGGGGGGGATTATTTTTACCCATTGGGCGGGTATTATTTGAGTATTTTCCTCCATTTTTCGCACAAAATCCCCCTGTCGGGGGACACGCCCGACTTCAGATCAGGAGGCCAAAACTGACGTGAACCAGAAGGGCAGCATCTTGCAGGAGCATGGTGGAACTTTGTCGCGTTGTTGCTGAGTTGTTACTTGCCGTATCTCGCGCGTTCCCTTTCCCTCCCCAATCTCGCTCGCTTCCTCCAAGTCGTCATCCGCGCCCTGGTCGTCCATGAAGAGAGCTCGGCCCCAGGAGGCAGCAGGACCGATTACATTGGACTCACTGGGCGCGTTCCACTTCTCGCAAAGGGCCTACTCGCGAACGTCCAACAACAAAAAGCACACGTTCGCCTCGATGTGTGATTCATCGTAAAGCCTCCGCGGCTGATCCAGGCCATTTGCGAGTAGTGACTGTGCGAGCAACGGAACGCGCTCGTCTATGATCGTGGGTGGACAGACCTGCCACCCTGACACGTCGATTAGGGAACTGTCCGTTTTCGGTCCTCGAGAGGGCGCCGCGGCCGTTATTTTCAGGTTTGCGCCCGCCAGGTCTGGGCCCGATGTCGTTTTCACTACACCACGCTTTACTAAAGGGAGGTCTGTCCATCCCCGATGTGGACTCTGCGAAGCGTTCGCGACCACCCGATCACAGACCCGCCCTTGGCATCGCACGGACGTCTGCATTTTTCTTTCGGCGAGGACCATCGAGGAGCATCCTGGATCACTTGGCGAAAAAGCCACGCGCGAAACCGAAAAAAACACAGGGAATGAACGTCCGAGCGATGGCCAGCGCCTATGTTTGTGACGCTGCAGCCCGGGCCCCCACGGTGCGCCCCCCCAACTCTGAGGCAGGGCGGCGGGCACGAGGACAGACGACCACAGGCTCCAGTCGGGCCCGGCCCTCTGCAGGGGGAACCTTCAAACATAGTCGGGGAAATGGGCTGAGGGCGATTTGTGGACCATGGTCGATCATCTCGGGAGCATTTGGGTTTTTTTTTTAAAAGCAAAAAAATCGCCTGTCCCTCTGCAGGGGGAATCTTCAGAAACAGTCAGGAGAATAGTCTGAGGACGATGTGTGGACCATGGTCGGTCATCTTGGGAGCATTTTTTAGTTTTTTTTGTATTATTTTTCGCCTGTCCCTCTGCAGGGGGAGTCTTCAGAAACAGTCAGGAGAATAGGCTGAGGACGATTTGTGGACCATGTTCGATCATCTTGGGAGCATTTTTTGGCTTTTTGTTCTATTTTTCGCCTGCCCCTCTGCAGGGGGGATCCTCAGAAAAAGGCAGGAAAATAGGCTGAGGACGATTTGTGGACCATGTTCGATTGTCTTGGGGGTCTGTTTGGGGGTATTGCTTTATTTTTCGTTCAGAATCTTCCTGTAGGGGGACAGGCCCGACGTAACCACAGACGAACGCGTCGACCTGGAGTGGAAGAACGCAGTGTCAGGCGATATGCGTTGGAAGGTCTCTTACAGGATCGTATTGGAAAGGTACCCCTTGCTCTTAGGGCGGGTGCGACGAGATCCGGGCAGCCGCTGGTCGGCTTGTCACCGATGGTGGATAGGCACAAGTTTTTTGTTGGCTAGGGCTAGTTCAATTGTAGTGATGTGACGAGTCGTAACTTCTCTTTGGAAGTGCGTGCAATTCAAGTTTAAGGCTCAATTGGGGGCGATAGTGGGGAGATTGACATGGCCCTGAAAGGGTCCCAG